ACCTCTGAAGTCCTAGAGGGAGAGTAGGGGGATCCTTCCTCTTAGGAAATAAATCAGTGTTAGACAGAATTTCTAAAATGTAAGGTAGTACTATGTTTATTTTAAAAACACATCTTGGCAGTGGGGAGTATGTTAAGTAGAAACATTTTGAAGTTGGAGCAAATAGTGTTTCTTGCACTTCATTTTTATAGTCAAGTGCTGTCATGCCCAAGCATTGTTACATATTTCTGAAATGCTCTGGGACAAATTTTATAAAGGAAATTTGCAGAACGAAAAGAGGAGTGTCTGCCTATATGAGCATGACGTATTTAGTTTAACTTGACTACCATTTGAATTGAAAAGTAAAATGTCATATTTAGTTGTTTTTGGGAAATTATACATCCTTGCATATCATAGTCTACTTACTCTTTAAGCTTGCTTACGGAATTTAAATACTAGCACATTTTTGAGATGTTAATTCCTAACATAATTTATATAATTCAGAGAGGTAAGAATAGTGTGTCCTGTGTGTCTAACAAAGTATAAGTGTATATTAAAAAAAACAAACATGAAAAGCAGTAAATTATCAAAACCAAGCATTCTGAATGTATGAAATGTCAGAATTGCTGTTTCCTGAGTGGTCTTAACTTCATTTCCTTATGGGTGTAAATTTTGGTCTGTTTAATTAATTGAGAGAAAAAAATAAAAACAAACAAATCCCACTAGTTTGCAGTGTATGGGAATGACGGTGCTTAGTGAAGAAACAGACGTTTTGATGCATAATGTTTGTTCTTACAGTGATGCTATGAAGTAATGCCTGAGGTAGTACACAACATTTAAATGCTACTTAAAATGGAGAGCTCACAATTTTATTTTGAGCTTATGAGTTTATGATTTGCATAAATTACTGTCTTCATGACAAGAGTTGGTATATGTAGCAACAGTCTACTTGTCCTGCATAAATGTGATTTTCTATAGACTGTGTTAAAAATTATCAGTTACTGACGGTACTGTCGGTAGTTTGAGGATCCTTGACACGCATGCTGCCTCCCCAGAATACTTTGTTATTATATTTTGTGGCTGAACTTTGTATCCAGATTTGTTCTGATGTTGTTGTAGTGGAGTGCTCAGTACTGGCTGGGTCTGTTTGCTCTTAATGGGGTGCCCGAGTGGGAGAGCGATACATGATCAGTGTGGGAAGATGACCCAGGTGAACAGGCACACCACATCCAGGCACCTTCTGACTTTTGAGGAGACTCAGCTGGTGCTGTAGCACTTTAGCAGAAAACTTTGGAGAAAAATAAGAGTTCCAAGCTTAAAAAAATCGCAGCAGTGGTAAAATTACAAGTAATTAAAGTTTGTCACTGTTTCAAGAGTGACTGTGTTAATGAACTGAAGATAGACCCTGCTAAGTAAAAAATGCAGTCCTAGGACAAGTTGAATTTCATCCAGATACGTCCTTAAAAAAACCCTAGTGTGTGCTATTGAGAAGTCTGACACCTAAACTCCTGTAGCAGCTGTTTTCTCTCGTGTGTCTTGCCGAGGAGGATGCACTGCTTGCTTGCTTTCTGTTCCTCCAGAGGAGCTAAGTTCTCTAACAGCCTTGTCTGGGCAGATGGATGTAGCCAAGGAGCCCTGCCATGCTCCCTGCAAATCTGGAGAAATCCTGAAAGTAAAAGAGGCTTTATCCTGCTGCCTTCTCCTTGTCCCCAAAAGTCTAGCAACAGGCTAGCAGCTGGCAGCTGCGGCCATCAGCTGAGCTATTGCTGGCAGCATCCAGTGCTCACATGAAAAGGAAGTTGGGAGGCCCTCGGCAGCATGCAGGGTCTGGATCATTGTGCATGAGGGATCTGCCCTTAATCTGCCACTCGTGTCTAATTTATGATTGCTTAATTTTTTATAATAGTTTGGGAACGAGGTGTATTCATGGACACTTTAGGATGTGTGTAACCAAGATTTTACCAGTGTTTTCTGTGCAGAGTACGCTCCTTTTCTGTATTTATATGAGTGATTGCATGGGGCTTGTTGTCCTTAATAAAACTCTTTAGACTTGGGATGGCAATTGCAGAGTACCCAAGCAGGTATTGCTTTGGATCACTTTATATTTTAGATGTGTGTGTGTGTACATGTTTTTGTACCATATTGTTCTAAACCTACTGTATTTCAGTGCACACACAAAGCAGAATGAAAGCAACTAAATTCTATTTTTGTTCCTAACTATTTTACCAAAAATGGTAACTTTTAAAATGCTGTTTGATAGCCTACTCCACTAATGTTCTTAGTGTGAAGTCAGTAGCAGGTTGGGAACCAGCAGCCATGAGCAGCCATTGTCTCTCTGTGAGCTCAGTGGCCCAGCCACGCTTCCTCCCACATTTAACCAATCTACCAAGCTGTGGAATGGGTACAAAGATCCCATGGGAGGCCCTGCTGTTGATCCTGCTGTAAAACAGTTTTGGGTCTCCAAATTAAAAAGAGAAGAATCAGTTCTACACAGAGTTCATAGAGACACTGAGCAAGACATTAGAATGCCAAAATGGTTGTTGAAAACTGGCTTGAAATCTTACCTGCTGTACCCAAGAATGAATGTTAAAATGGAAATGATGAAATATTCTGTAGAGTTGTTTGATCCTTAATATTTTATTTCATGTGGTCAGTCAGATATACTTAGAAATATAGAGCTTTTTAAAAAAAGAGTATATTTCTTCCATGTTTTCTGTTTAGAAAAAAAGTTGCCATGGAAAAATTTAGCTGGAAAGTGCATCTTTTCAATGGAAGTAATATTGTGTAGTATTTCTTTCTTTCTCTTGATGTTCTGTGACACCAAAAGTCTAAGCTAACCAATGCATTGTAACTAGAGGGTTTTCAGAATTGTCTGTTGGGCCTGCCCAAGGTTCACTCATCATTTTTGTCTTCCAGGTTCATGTTGGGGAGAGGCCTAAAGCGCAAGCTGAGTGACTATGAGGAGAACATGGCTGGTCTCTCGAGTGCCTTTGATTCCAGTCGAAGTCTGCCCTACCCACTCAAGAGGCAGCTGGTGCTCAACATGTGCCTCACCAAGTTACAGACGTACAAAATGCTGGTGGAGCCCAACCTGCACCGCTCCGTGCTCATCGCCAACACCGTGCGGCAGATTCAGGAGGAGATGAGGCAAGAGAGCAGCCAGCAGCCACTGAACATCTGCCCTGGCATTGCTCCTGCTTCTCACAGCTACACAGGGATGGAGTCACCTGGCATTCCCCTTCAGTTGCCTTCAGGTGTTGGTCAGCAAGAGTCTCACTGCTGTGACCTGCGGTCCGTAGAAGACCCGATTGAGAACAGCCTGCTGATCGTTTCAGACGACGACATGTCATCTGCTATTTCATCTATTCTGAAGGATTTAGACTTTGTAGAAGATATAAGCCCACCTACTTGTCTGGTTCCTACTGGAGATGACCAGCCAAAGTTTCCAGAAAATACTGGTCTGAAACTCGAAGATGATAGACAGGATTTGAAGGGAGCTGAATGTGTGTTTGGTTCCTTTGAGATTTCAAATTCAACCAGTTACTTGAAGGATTTGGCAATAGATGACATTTTTGAAGATATTGACACTTCAATGTATGATTCAGACTTCTGTTGCCCTCCCTTGATGCCGCCCAGATCACCATCTCTTGCTACAGAAGAACCATTGAAAACCTTCCCGTCTTGTAATTCTTCTTCAGCAAACAACATTCAGATATGTAGAACAGATCTGAGTGAGTTGGACCACATCATGGAAATTCTGGTTGGATCCTGATACTTGTTTTACCCAAAGATACTTTTAAACTGCCACTTTCATTTGGTTTCAGGATAAAAGCCACTGGAATAGTTGTAAAGAATTCTTTAAAAAGCAAACTGAATAATAATTTGTCTGTAGTAGGATTTTTCTAAATAATTCCAAAACTTATAAACCACAAAAGTGGCAGATTTTTTTAAAAAAATAATTATTTATCAGAACTGTGCAATCATCATTTTCCTTCCAGGGTGTATGTGGAACAATGGGCACATACCCTCATCACCCCTCATGCCTCTTTCAATAAACTTTTTTATGTGCAATTTTTAATTTGACAGAAGAATTTACATGCAAAGCTAATTTCATATGAGGTGATCTTTTACAATGCCTCCACTTTATTTTTAATATCAGAGTTTATGCCAAGCTGGCATCTGTCAAGTTGCAAGAGTTAGATTGTGTGGATTGCAGACACGTTACTAGAGATGGGTATATTTTAAAAATGAGACACGCTTTGCTTTCTTTTGGTCAGAAAAGCAGATCAAGACACTTACCAACAAAGTCTCTTGCATTTTCTAAAGCATTCAGAACTATTTATTTTTGTAAATTTTATAGTCTTTCTACATTTTACTACGTTATTTCATCATAGCTCAAATATAATGGACTTCTAGTTGGATGTGTTTAGCACTACCTCTGAGCTGAAATGCTTTAACTCTTTCCAGTGCTTCATCTGAGACTGCAAATCTTTTTGTTTCTGTTTCTTTCTGGGAGAAAGTACTTCTAACTCATTAAGTTGATCCTTTGACGGTGACCTAGCTGATTTGTGAAATCAAGGGTATTCAATGTTTAAAAACGTTTAAGTATTTACAAATTAATTTATATGTAGATTGTGCAATTTAACATTTTTCTGTCAGTATTATGTGCTTAGATTTTGAATAATCTTGGCGTTCTTTAAATTAAAACTTACTATGTACAGGTAGCTTTTTATTCTCTTTTGGAAAACACTGTCCTTCAACCCTGCTTTCACTACAAATTTTAAGATGATTTTTATGTGCAATATTATTTAAAAAGACACGCATTTGTATACCTGGCATTGTGGGAAGAAACGCTTCAAACTTAAAACCTCTAGCACCTTTGGAGGACACTCAGTCAACATTTCTGCATCCTTTCAGAAGGCAAGCTGAGAACACTGAGAACGCATCACCCACTGCTGTGACAGCCCCTGGAGCTCCCCGGGGGCTCTGCCCGGTGCTGGTGCTGGCTCTGTCCCTGCCAGGGGCTGGGGCCACCTGGAGCTCCTGTCCTGGGTGGGGCAGGGCTGTTTTTGTACAGATACACAAACACCCTGCTCAGCTGGAGATGAGGTTTGCAGAGAGAACTGTTTTTCCATCGGGCAGTTTGGGTTCTGTGTTTCAGCCTGAACCGAGGTCTAGATCGAGCCCTGCTATCGTCTTCTGAGTTTCACACTTGCACATTGCTTTTTGGTTTGGGTTTTGTTATTTTTTTTCCTCCTTTTTTAATTATAAAACTTTTACCTTGTTCTTGAAAGCTGCAGCACCTGTCTTGGAAACTTGCAGTTGTAATATCTTTGCTTTGGTTTGTTGTATTTTTTGGTTTTTTGTTGTTCTGCTGAGACTTTTTATGAAGGGAGCGTCGGCAGAGGGAAAAAATGTTGCCTGTGTGTTGCATCTCACAGAAGTTGAAATCCTGGCCCTGTTGAAGGGGCCAGGGTGTCACCTGGTATTTCTAGTCTTAACTGATGCTGTGGCACATCTGCCTTGTGCAGAGATCTCCATTTTTTACTGTGACTCTCTTGGTTAACAGTTAGCTGCCGACATAATTTGGTATCCCAGGCCAATGGAGAACCATTTCAGGTCACATCCTCGCAGCCATCTGGGTTGTTCAGCAACCCAAGGGTATAAATGTATTTATATGCATATATTGTATTGATTCTAATATAAAACTTCTGATCTAAAGCATTTTGAATTGCTGGATAAAGGGATTTGTTTGAAGAGTGTATAACTAGTTCTTGAAGAGGTACAGCTTCAGAATGTACACAGATTGTGCATTGTGTATAGACTACTCTGGCTTTTCCTCAGCCTCTACTTTTGTATTAAAAATATGACTGAATAAATCCTTGAAATATTAAGGGCCTTCTGCACTGTGATGAAACAGAGATGCGGTTAAAAATGTCTTTAAATTCAGTGATGAGGGATAAAATAAAAAGACTGCATCTAATCTCTTTGCATTTGAAAATATGGAATGTTACTATGCAGTAAAGATATTTTGATATTAAAATTGTATCCTATAGCAAATAGTGAACACTTAAGAAATCCACTTACCTTGCAGTCTCTACAGAAACAGAAGAGAAGACAACTTTTCAACATTTATGTACTAAAGTTTTTTGTATACTGCAGCAAAAGATTTAATTGTTGGTAGATCTTTTACCAACAATTCAAAATGCAAGTTTTGTGCAAGTCCTGGCTACAGAGCTCTGTTTCTAATTGGTTTCTTGTGTCACAGTGCCAAGAGTATGAGCTGGTGTGTAATGCAGTTCGGTTATGTTTGGAATTATGTGCAAAGGGAAGTTTTAATTTTTAAATATGCACAAACTAATTTTAAAATCCTTCCATGTAAAATGAAGTTAGAGGCTAGTTGTGGTGGACCTATTTATTGTATGTTTGGAAATAAAAGCCACAGTTTTGCATTTAAACCGGTTATATTTTGGAGACTTTACTATTTGACTGTTTTAAAAACAAAACATAAATCTATGGCACCCTGCCACCTTTTCTTTGGTCTTTCACTCACAAAGACCCCTCAGCATCTGTACCTTTTTTCCTTCTCCACATGCCCCCTCTCCCCCATCCTTTGTCCCTAGAAATACCAAACACCTTACAAACCTGTACAGAAATTAAAAATGCCAGGCCCCATGACAGGGTTCCACATGAGGTTTCCACGTGTCCTGAAGGATGGATTCCTTTAGGGAAGCAGCAGCCTGAGCTGGTGCCTCCAAAGAGGGACTGTGAACATCGAAATTCCTGAGCAGTTAGGTCTATAACAATAATTAGACATTAATTATAGTAAGGTCTGGGGTCTTCATGGTGTTTGCTCCTCCACTGCTCAGTGATCGTTGTTTTACACAGCATCTCATCCTCCCAGCTTAGGAGCCTGAGTCTGCAGTTTGGAATTTGGAATCTTCTAATAATGTTACGCTCGTTTACCACAATCCATAGGTTTTCTCTACTTCAGCTATTAATATCCAGGCTGCAGCTTTGTTCTGGCTCTACTTTTCACTAAAAAGCACTACACCCTCACATCCCATTTGTAATCAAAGAAGGGATGGCCCACAGCACGTTTTTCCTGCTGTGGGGCAGGGGGATTCCTGTTGGGAACAGGTGGCAGGTGTTCTTGGCACTGAGCTGTCCTCTGGCCTTTGTCTCCAGTGCCCTGTGAGGTGCTCCCAGCCCTGCACTTCTCGGTGTCCCTTCAGGGGTTGCTGTGCCTGAAAGCAAGTGTCACATGTCAAGGACACACATAGTGGTGATTCTTGAGACCTGTGTGCTTGTCAGGCTGGACAAAAGCCCTGCCACTCTGGGCTGGTGAAGGGCTGCTTGTACAAATCAAACCGGAACTTCAGGTTTGGAGGTTTCCATCCTCTTCCTGTTGTAGACCTCTAAAATGAGATCCTGGCCCTTCTGCAATGAACTTTCAAGGTTTGAATTGAGACAGAATCACTATTTCCCCTCATTTTTAAGTGTTTAAATAGAGACAAACTTCTTTATGTGCCATTTTAAGAATTACATCAAGTTCCCTCCATTTTAAGGGAAAAAACTCTCATATCTTGTAGATTGAGGCGTACCAGAGTACTCTCCAGCAGCTTTCCCTGGTGAGACTGCACTGGCTGCTGCTTCCAGACTTCCCTCTCCCTTTGTCATGGAGCCTGCTGACCACAGTGTGAAAAGCACAGATCTAGAAGGAACTGCACAGAAATTCAGTGGTGTGACCACTGTGCCATCAGCTCTTGGACTGACTCATTCCTAAGGAAGCTGCTACAGAAGCTGCAGTGCAGAGCAGCAGAAAACGCTGCCTTTCGAGGGCGTGCTGCACATCAGTGTTTTAAGAAAATATTTTTAAAGCTTTCAGAGCACGCTGAGACTGTTTAAAAGTGGTGTAGGTTTTCATACACTTGCATGGATTTTAGGCACACTGAAAGATCTGAATTTAGAAGCATTCAGGGCAGCACAGCTCAGTGCAGTGCTGCTTCAAACAACTGTCTGGGCAGGTCTGGTGCTACCCAGAGTGCTCTGTCCAGCTCTCTAATCTGTCTGCTGGAAGTGACACTTTAAAAGACTAATTTTTCAGCACAAGCAACAGTAAAATACACAAAATTAAATAACCTATCCACTAGTTCTGTGAGGAAGATGAGTTATAAATTAATGGCAAAACTAATTTTGAGCTGTTCAAAATCAATGTTAGAAGTGAGGCATTAAGCTCTGAAGATGCAGAAGTTTGTCTGTAGAAGTGTATGTTTATAAAGCAGATGTTTGGGAAAGCTGGAGGATTTTTTGGCACTTCAGGATTTGCCCAGCATTCACAGGCATCTCGCCTTGATTAAAAAAAGCAAAAAAAATGTTGCAACTTCATTCCATACATTTTTCCCTCATCAGGGCCTGCTTATCCCACCCAGCAGAGCACTAAGCCAGGCTGGCTGTGCTCTGGCATCCAGGCTGTGCTGTGGGAGGCAATTTAGGATGTTCTCAGACATATTTCAGTAGAAGGAGCAGAAACTTTTTCTCTTTTGAATCTTCCACAGTGGATCTGAAAAGTTAAACTTGGATCCACAAGGAAATTTGGGAATTAACAATTAATTTGAAGGTAACTCAGTTTTAGCCCAATTCCCTTTGCTGTTTTAACTGGAGTAGGAGTACTCCAGAAACTCCCATTTTTTAAACTATTAAAGCTGATCTTCATCATTAAAAAATACCAGAGTGCTTTTAAATCCTGAAATGACCTTGCATTTTGAAAAAAGCTGCCTTTACAAGATTTATTTGTTTTTCACTCCATCTTCTGCATTTGCAACCAATGATGGGCTTATAGTGTGGTTAGAAATAGTCCTGGAGTCTGACTGTCCCCACCTCTTCTTCTTGTCTCTTTTAAAAATTATTATAATTAATTAAATTCCACATTTTAGAGCATGCATTGAAAAATTTTCAGTCTTTCACAATGAAGTTGGTTTGAGGGTTTTTTTTTGAAAAGGAATGTTCACAACATTCCTTCCACAAAGGAGGCATTTTGGTAATTACACTGCTGATTGGAACTTTTAAAAACTTTGTTCTATGGGTTTATTTTCCCTCTAATCCCAGCAGAAGAAAGAGGCATTCCTGCCTAGCTCTGCTGTCCAGAGCTCCTGCCTTGCTCTCATTTTCACCTTTTCAAACCCCTAAGCAAATGTCAGAAGTCTGTGGTATTTGCTTTCTGCAAACACAGAGTACAGTAACACACTTAGTTCATCAAAACTCAGGACTTCACAGCTGAGAGCTCGTAACTAAGACGAGAAACAGCGAAATTCGTAGCTTAAAAAGCGTGCTGAGGTACAAAGCGATATTTATTTCCTCTGGGCACCCCTTGCAGGGCACAGACACGGTGATGGTGGTGTCACCATGCCTTTGGGGACACGGCGTGGGCTGGCACCCTGGGCTGGCTGCCAGGGCCAGCAGGAACGAGGAAATGACTCAAGGAAACGGGAGCTCACAGCTTGTGCAGAACGCGCCAGAGCAGCTTCCGCAGCCCTCCTTTCCCGGGATAACCACGGCGGGCCAGGCTACGTTTTCACTGTGAAATGTGCCTGCAAATGGTTGGCTACCCTTTGGTTTGTCTCCCTCGTCTTCTGTCACTGAATAAAGCCCAGTTTTGTCTTTGTGGGTACCCCCAAATGTTCTGTCCCCCGGTCCTGTCCAAATTCTGATGGGGGCTGCAGGGTTGCCAGAACTTCCCAACCTTGGAGCTGAATTGAATTACTTTTCCGTTCAAATGTTGCTGGTCTTTTCCCCTGGAATGGTGAATTGGTTCATCTCAGATTGGAAATGGGAGTTACAAGGTCCCTCACTTGTCTTAAGCCAGTGCTTAACAGGTAGTGAGGGCTCAAAGCATCTGTCCAAAAGAGAAGGACCTGGAAGGTGGAGTCCATCACCTTTGGAACCCCAGTAGTTTGTTTCCCTGCTGAGTCACAAGGGCTGAACCCTTTTTTTCTTTCCAGTCTGTACCTTGGACAGGGCTGTAAAACCTGCTAATATGAGGGAAAGATGACGTATTCATCCTTCTCCCAGAGTAAAGTGCAAAACGTCTTTTGATACATTCATCCACTGCTCACAAAAGGAAAGGCAAAATTGAAAGCCCAGAGGAAAAGAGGGCTCTGATGCATCAGTGAATGTTACATACATTATGAGTTGCCCCCTCAAGCCCCTCTGAAGGCCCCTGCTTGTCTGAAAGCATAAAAATGGGATTTTAATCTTATAATTGATTTTAATAACTTTTATTACCAACCTCAACTATTCAGTCACCATTTACTGGCAATTTAACATTTTGTGAGCTTATGACTACACATTTAATACATGTTTAAGAGCTCTGAAGGAATATAAGGGAAACTGAAAATTAATTCAAATCTAGGGTTAACTGAAAAAGGTAACCCTGCTCTTGTATCCAGATGGAGTTTCCAGTTTGGCATTGCAGGACTCCCTCCAGGGCCAGGGAAGCTGCAGAGCCACTTTAAAAGAACATTTTTCTAAATGCTCTGTTCCATCTACTGAGTAAGCAGGACAGAGATCATCCCATGCTAACAGCACTGAGGTATCATAAGCATTACTGAAGTTATTACAGCAATTGTAATGTCACTGCTGAACAGTTTACTAGATTAAGGGCTGAAGTCTGCCAGTGCTTTATAGTATTCTTAATTCTAAGAACAGAATATGCTCATCATTAAATAATTAACTGGCTTAGTTTTGGAACACCTAATTTTGTTCCCTGCTTTCAACACATAAAATATCAGTTGCTGTCCTTAGCAACTCTTTAAAACAAAAAGCCATATAAAATTTTCCTATTCAGAATGGCCAGAGCAGCAAATAGATCAGTAACTTGTGTAAAAGTTACTGCCAATGAATAAATAAAGCTGTTGCAGTTGGCAGGGAGCCAACACAAATTTTTCTGAATGACAGTGAAGTGCATCCCCTGTGGCACTCAAGCATGCAGGAGGATGGGCAACGGTGGATAGTTCCTATAAAATTTTAAAAGGGCAGGAATTTACACCATTATGCAAGTCCTGAACTGCAACACTGCTGAGCTTTTACAAGCAGGGCGTGCATGGTCTAAGTATGGCTGAATGAACCCAACATGTCCTGTGACAATCAGCTTCAACAAGGTGATTTATTTCAGCCAGAAACCAATGCCAGAATGAAGCATTTTTCTGCCTCCACCCCTATCACCACAGCAGGCTTCACCAGACAGAAATTAAAACACTTTCATTCTGCTACACCCCACTGAAAGTCCCCAAATGAAGAAGGCTCCTCATTTCACCCAGCAGTGGCAAAGCAACAGATCCCAGCTGATCCAAACTGGAGAAGAACGAGGAGAGAGGGTGACAAGGCACTTACAAGACACCTGAGACTTGTGCAGGTTTTGGCAGGGAAAGAAGGGTTTTGATTGAAGGTGCATTAAGGCCTGAGAGGTAAGAAGAGCCCACCAGAGTTATCTTGAAGCAGGGTTGCAGCTGCAGCATTTACTGTAAGAGACACAACTCTGCAGCAAAACTTAGCAGGGCAAAACTACGAAATTTGACTTCACAACTAAACAGGAGAAATAGCTTCTAATAACATGGCCTTAGGTCCCTCATATACAGCAATATGTCACTTTCCTAAAGAACATCTGTAGTCTACATTTCCAAGTCAGTAACAAAATGAAGGTAAACTGCATTCAGTTGGAAAAAAAAAAAAAGGAAGAAAAAAAGGCTAAAAATTGCATTTAGTTCAGCAAACATCACTACTGAAAAATTTCATTTTTAGGTTGTGTGTAGCAAAAATCTGCTTCTTCCTTGGGATTGTTATACATTGTGTGTTTTCATTTGATGATGTGGTCTTCAAAAAGAGGTTACAGGTGAAAAGGTGACCTTGTCTGGAGTCCGATGACATAGAAAGCTGAATGAAAAAGAAAAATTTAGTTAATTTTTTCCATCCTACAGGAGGTTAATCACTTTGCATATGCCAACCTAATTTTTATAAATTTTCATTAAAATAATTTTTTAAATGTATTTTAAATTTTTAGAGAAAAAAAGACATAAATATGAAGATAAATGGAAAACATCACATTATATGATTTGACTTACTTTAAATTAGAAATAGCATCATATGACTTTTAATGATTTTTTTTCTTTGAGACACCAAGCTGCAGGGTTTGTTCTTTCCCTTATGAGGCTACTCCAGAAAAATATTGTCCTTTTACCTTAACTTTGTACCACAGTTTCTTTTTTCTTTTATTCCTTCTTTGTCTACCTCAAACCACTTCTTCTTTGTCTAAACCCTGTTCCTGTATTTTGCACATTTCCAGTGTGATTCAGCCACTGTGATCCCCCCTCATGTACTCACTGAAGAAAGCAGAACTGAATGATGAAGGAATAAACCGGACAGTTCTTTTAAGTTTTAGTTCTGAATTCTCCAGCCTATCATCTCTTATGTGCAAGGTTCCCAGAACTGTCATACACCTTCACTGTCCAAGGCAGTAAAGAGAATAAAACAAAGCAATGAAAGTGTGTCTCAAACTGTCTCCACATTGACAACAGCTGCTCAATTTTATTCTCCACTGAGGAAGGAACCTTGGGTTAAGAATATTTCTCCAAAATACCTTGCTAAAAAACAGACAGAGGTGACTGAGGTGTTTTACAGCAATGGAGAATGACACAATTTTCCTTCCAACTTGGATTGCTGTAACAAGAAACAAACAAGCACCAAGGTATCTTTTCTGAAGCTGTCAGAGAGGTTTCAAAGAGCAAAAACCAACTCCACATCCAAAAGTTATGCCAGGACTGAACCATTACATGAGAAAAGGTGTGGGACAGCAGAGAGGAACATGCTAAATACACTCTGTGGTTCTCTGAAGTGCTCACTTCCAGAACAATCCTTACCTTGGTCTGGATCAGTGCTTTGCAGTCATTAACATTGAATCCATCAAGTCTAATGTCCTCGTTATCTTTGACATTTGAGTCCTCAAAAATATCAGCCTGGTTTTCTGAAACATCCTAAAAAAACATCATTTGCATTTTATTTATGAATTTATTTATATATTTCTATCTGATTTCAATGCATACAACCTAAAGAGAAGTTTTCCTCAAATAACAACCACTAAGTTTTACTTTCTGAAGCTATATTTTATCATGTGTCTCCCTTTGCATTAAAACAATTTTATGCCAGAACCAGCTCTACCAATGATACCTTAAGTTTTAGATTCATATTTTTCAGATTCTGTACTGCATTAGTGTATAACTCCGAACTCTGTATAGAATGCTAATTAGCTTTCTTCACATTTTGGTCAGACTAAACAATCCTTTTAGGCCTGAGAACCAAGGTCATCCACACAGCCTCAGGCCCAAGAAGTATAAACAAAAGTGAATTGAGGAGGGAAACAAACTGCGGAATTTGTCTTCATTACGTGAAGATATAATTGGACAATTAACCTCTGATATGCAAATAGATCAAACTTACACCTGTCTGAGAAACTCGTGACTGTTGCCCATCTTGGGTGCAGTCTCTGCAAGGCTTTGCACTGCCCAAGGTGTATCCTTTGAAGGCATTTTAATAAAAAAATACTTTACTCTCTAACTCTGTCCAGCCTCTGTTCCAGGTAGCCTCTCAAGGCGTCACGTACACACATGAATCTGTGACTTCAATTAATAAAAAAGCCACTTCCAATTAGAATTAGCCTTAATTAGCACCAAAGCATTGCTTAGAAATGCATCTTAATCAGTATTGTTAAAAGCAATACAGGTTTCCAGCAACAGATAAGAAATAATGGTATAAGTTTAAGCTGCCTGGGCATTGATTTAATGCTGGGGGGCAAGAAAGGAACAGAATGGGAGTTTAGCTATGTTAGAGAAAGGTCTCTGATGCTCTCTGTTACAGAGAGTTACAGTTCTACAAAGTGACTTTTTCAAGTGCAAAATAGCATCGTCCTTCTGTTTGCATATAACTTACATAAAAAGTCAAATATGCCCATAAAATGGGCACCACTGTGCTTCAGCATCCAAATAATCAATTGAAATAGTTACTTCTGAAAATTTCGTGTGACTAATTAATCCCAGCTAAATAACTGAATTCTAAACCATCCCTGACACCTGTACCTTCTCAACACAAGATATTATTAAACAGAGACATTTCTGTTTGAGATCTTTCAACATTGCTGCTTTGGTTTCAATCCAATTTCAAACACACTCTCCCTCAAGCCTCACAAAAACAGACAAGAATAATGTGAGGAAAGGGGAAGTTGAACATACTTTCAGTTTCTTCACAGTAAAATAATCCAATAATTACTGTAACAGCCTCCCTGATTCAGATCTGATTTTCACTTAACAGAAAGATATTAGAGGCCAACAGTGTTCTCACACTCTGAGCAAAGAAGTAAACAATCCTACTGCACACACACCAGGGAGCTGATTCTCCGTCTCTACCACCTGAAAGCTGCTTCTCCATCTCTACCAAAGCTGAATGTACCACCTAACAACAGGGAACTGTGTTAGACAATCAAAGTGTGATCCTACACAATTTCATAGTTAACTTACACATGAAGATGAGAAAACACTAAACTATTGTCTTAAAAAGCTCCCTGTTAAAAAAAAACCTTGTGACTCACCCAGATCTAGTCCCTCATGCATCTGCATGTACAGCTAACAGAAGATCAAATTCCCAGCCCAGTGTTTGTACTGGCAGAATGGAAAACCATTGTTCAATTACCTTTTGATTTGCATCTATTCCGAGAACACTCCAGAGGTTTTCTTGGCAATGAGATTTACTCCAGGGATGTCTTAAGCTGGGGGTATTATCAAAGTCTCTGAGTGCTCTCCATACATTTCCAGAATCCATGCTAGGAAACAAAACAAAATTTGAGGTTTGGAGCTGAGGTTTCCATATGCAACAGTTATTTTCACTACATACAACTGTATACTAACCTTGATCTTGCTTGATAACAAGCAACTTGTCTTAGAACTCTTTCTACACTTGTCCAAACTACCAACCCAGTGTAGTAATGAGCTGGCATGACAATTAGTGGAAGCAATAAGTCAGCATAAGTGTATGTTTGTGCTCCTCAGATAAGAAGGGCATTAGAAGCACATTTCAGAGACTGCTACATGCCAGCAGCTCGCAGTGCTCAGCTGCTTCTGTGAAATGTGGGCAGAGTTCAGCCCTGTTCGTTCTGCACTTTGCCTTTTCTGTCTCTCAAGTCTTTCTCCATCCCAGAGGTCACACTTCACCTCTGCTACAAAATAAGCCCAGGGCACTCGCCAGTGGAACATTAAGAAGGAGAGAGTTCCCTCGACATGGTACTTTAGATCCTTACACTGCCTTCATCACATATAAAAATTCAGTTGGGCTTTACTTAGTTTGCACTTGTCATTGACCTTAGTTACTAGTCACAGTAGATTAGGAAAGCTTTGTTTTTGCCTGGCACTCTGCTGTAATAGTGCAGTCCCCTTTACAATTATATTTCTCCACAAGTTTGATGCTGATTAAAATATAACACATATGCAGGGAACTTGGGTGAAAGGATGATCACATTCAGAGTTTTACCTAGGTTTCTTCTGAGTCTTAGGACATTTGTCAAGTATGATCTGACAATGCTTTCTAGACACAAAGCCTCCAAGTTATGAAAAAATAACTGCAACTCTGTTCAGCAACTACAATACTGCTCTGAAGCTGCTGATCCTTAAAAAACATGTAACAAAACTAGAAGTGTTCCAGCTGTCACAGGAGAAAGCTTAGTTAATGATACTAATTGCTATTAACATAGCCCAGGGAAAAAGCCAGATGCACCACAGATTCTGAAGCACATCTGGTTAAATAAGAAGAAGTTACCAACTGGGAAAACTGAGGGAGGAGGGGGAAAAAAGCAAGTAAGTTGTTAGTAGAAGCAGCAGCTTCCAATGATGAAGAAATAAGTGGGATGTGCTGCAAAGAAAGGACAAGCAAACAGGAAGAACAGGCTGCCTGTTGGGTTCTGACATTCCAGAGGCTTAGTCATAAGGAGGCACACTAACAGCAGGAAAAACCCTAAGCAGGAATTTGTAATTTTGATGTATTCCTTTCATTGTTTTCCAGTGGCTAAAACACCATCCACTTCCTTTAACAATGTGCTGCAAAACTGGTGATAGCTATACACTGAAAAGAATAGTACTAAAAAGATTAAGTTCACCACTGATTTTTAAATTATGAAACAGTGTAATTGATGAGGAACTTTTTCTTCCTTTTTTTTAACTATTAATCTAAACTCATTACCAAAATTGATTCTTCAAAAGTTCAGGAGTCCAAACATCTTCATTATTTGCATCAAGAACTTGCTCTAAGCTTCTTATGCACTCTCTGGACTGTGGTACAAAGACTTCTGGAAAGCCCAACTTAAATATCTCCTCATAGCTGTGGTCTTCCTAGAAAAAAAGAGATTTTTATTACATATACCATATGGGCCACCCCCACAGTTTATGAAGGACCTAGTCCAAAGACTACAATAATTTTAGAGACTGTATTATTGTTTTAAGAATTTATTTTTATTTTTATTTTTATTTTTATTTTTATTTTTATTTTTATTTTTATTTTTATTTTTATTTTTATTTTTATTTTTATTTTTATATCAGAGGGACTGAGTTCATATTTCAGTGTTTTGAGTATTTTGAATACCTAGAATTAGAGGAAACAAGAGTCCCAGAATTTCACTAAGGTGAACCTTAGTCTTTAACTTCCTACCTTCTCGGTCACAGACTTGCATATTTAACACTTATGACTCCTCCTTTTGCTCAGCTAATGCAGTCCAGGTCAAATCTGACGTTCACATCAATTCAGCAGCTTGTTTCACCAACTCAGTATTCAAACACTTCTAATTCAAATGTAACACATCTGCCAAATGCTACAGTTACCAAGAAATACTTGCACTGTCCAAGTCTGCAAAAAATCTGGGGTGAGGATGTTTCTATGTCCTTGTGTTTGCACCAAACTTTTTTCCAGCCTGTGTTAAAAACCAGAGCCGGATTTAAATCCTTGTTGCTCCTCAAACAGCGATGAGGAGCAGGTTTGGAGGACTGACCACAGCACAGGAGTGATATAGACAGCCCCAGTGGAAGTAACCACTGGTAAGGAGGGTTATTTGACAACTAAGAAATACATATACAAGGGAAAACATGCACAATTTACATCCTATCCTAGAGGCATGCCATCTTGTTTGGAAGCTGTACCCTTTTATTCCTTCAAGGAAGGAATTACTGTGATTTTCCAAATAAAAGTAAATTAATTGACTTCAACACCCTGACCAGGGACTGCAATGCAGGAGCAGCTGCACTGTGTGAAAATTCAAGAATGAACCAGTCAGTTTGGGGTTTTTGCCCAGCAACCAACAATTTAGTGTGAAAACCCTAAGCATGGATACTCCATATTTTTTATAGTTTCATTTAATTGTAATTCAAACATTTCCACAGCCTCATTACACTGAACTCAGGCAACCGGGGTGAATACTGAGACAGTATGGATTTAATCTAAGGATAAATGGACAAAATCCACAGAGGTGATAGAAGCCTTCTGCACTCCTGACCATGCTTCAAGGACCAGAATTTGTGCCCCATGCTGCTCCCTCCTGAAGTAAGGCCTTGCTAAAATCTGGTCCTGATGATTCACTGCTGGGACATTCAAAGACTCCTGGCTAAATTGCTTTGAATCTTGCCCAAAGTGTCACAATACTTTCAATCAATTTGTAAATTATTTCAGCAGGGATACAGCATGGAGGACCCTGACGGATGCTCGAGAAGCAGAATTCTGTAAAGTAACACTTACTAAAGGATACATGATCTAGGAAAAAAACAACTTCCAGGTAGGCACCAAAGTTGAAGTGGGATGGGAGCCAAGGAAAAGCCAGGCAGATGCTCTTGGCTTTGGGATGGGGGAAATTACAGTCCCAGGGAGTGCATCGAGGGAAGCACAGCTCTGCCTCAACTGCAGCATCTCTGTAGAGCCTTGGTGCTGCTCCACCACACATACAAGTCACTGACATGGTTTAGACAAGACAGATAAAGAGATTATTTTATTACTGTCTATTTCAGTGAGTGTTTTTGAAACAAAATTTGAGTATATTTCCGTTTACCTTGTGGCTTTGTACTAATTATAAAAAACCAATATAAAGTTCACATCAGTACTTTCTGAATAAATCCTCTATATCCTATTATATCAAAATACCCCATGGCTTAAACACATGCACCAATCCCTCTCTCAAAGACCGATTTTTAAAGGGCACATGAAAAATCCTCAGTGTTCAGTTGTGTAGGAAAAACACCCAGCTATTGCAAGGAAATTAATGAATATTTCCATATTAAAACACATGATTCTGATTCCAATTGATGTCATTTAATTAACTGAAGCAATTAATACTGAAGGTCAGACCTCTGACCTGAGATGATTTCTAGAAGTCCCTTCCAATCCACCTGGTCTTTATTCTTTAGTCATACAGAAGCCAGAGTCCCAATGCAAAGATTTTATGATCTCAAACTAACGACACAAAAAGCACGGGGATAAAGGACAAGCTACACATATATTCTACACTCCAAGGAATCTTCAGCAGCTCTGTGCCTGTCTCTCTCCTTTGAGATGAGAAAAGACAGCTTGAAACTCTAAGTATGGTTAACTTATTTAACTCGTACTGGACATTTCCTTCTGCCTTTAACAAATGCAAAATAAAGAAAAGGCTTCAGTAAGATTAAGATCTATTGCTTTTGGAAAGAAACCAAACAACCTGTTATATTCCATTTCAGCTTTAGTCCTTACAACATTCTCTTTCTCCAACAGAAAACTTCTTGTCCCCCATTTCCAGCATTACAAAAAATGTGAATTCTCTGTGCACAGGTATTTTTGTGTGTCTACACTCAATCAGTGTGGGCAGCTTTTCCCACCTGCATCTTTGTACTGTTTCTAGTAATACCTCGGCAACAAGTAAAATTCCTAGGCAAAGGGCAAGAAATCCTGTCTCCAGAAAAGTCTCGGTTCTCTACACATACTAAAACTCATCCAACAGGCTACAAGCAGTAAGTTATTACTGCTACAGATTAACCCCATGGAAGCCTGACATGATTGCTCCCTTTTTTCAAATGTTGTTATTTAGGATGAAACCAGTAAGAACAAGGGGCTTTTGTTCTGTATTTCTATGTTCTTTCTTCCCTTTTGTTACTTTCCTTTCCTTTGCTGATGCATGTTTGGTCCACATGGAAATACATTTATCCCAACAAGGTATAATCCTTTACCTGAACCCTTTTTTTTTTTTTGTGCTGATAAGAATCATTGCATTATTTACTCAGAATTTTAGCTCTAGCATTGTAAGAGTGAATGTTATATCCTATGCTAAAAAATGAATTCTATAATTTCTATTAATTTCTTGTGTGTCACCATCAGTCTAAAATTCCAGAAAAACTGTTGATATTATTCAGGGAGTATACTAAACAACAAAAGACATTGTTTTTGCCAATTTCTAACTCAATGGTATGTGGGCTTACTTGAGTAAGTTTGCAGGCAACTCACAGAATTTCTGTCCACCCTGCTTTTGTCACCCACCTTCCCGATTTGCTGTTCCCTATGCTCTTTCTTGTCTAAATTTTAAATTGCATGTCCTTTAGGGCAAGGTTCATGGTGCCTACGTGCTTACTTGCCCATGTGCCTACTTATTCCTAGTGCCTAGAAGCAAAATAGTGCATTACATTCTTCAAAGCTCTCCAGCAGCACAGCTTAAGTATTTGTCAAACACTGTAAAGAAGTAGCTTTTGTTCCACTTGAGGTAGCTGCGAAGTAGCTGGACAGTTTCTCGGTATGTGCAGCATTACTGTCTACAGGGAGGACAGATACAAATCCGGAGGTGTAGGAGGCAGTGACACAAACATTTGTGGTCCTTGGTTTGCTGTGAGCACGTACCTCATTCAGAGAGCCCGAAGCATCCTGCATCCCGCGGCACAGAGATGGCTCAGCACACACCTGGGCAGCAGAAATGCTGCAGCCTCCGCTGCTCAGGTCCCGATCGGCTCCAGAAGCTTTTGCTGACTTCACCAAATCTTCAGGGTTACAAATGAATCTCTCTGATTTGTCTAAGGGCTCCTTGAAGCTTTCAAAATCACCCCAGGAACCACTGGGTTCTGAGGTACTAAAACTGCCCTCAGAAAACCCTTCATAACTTCTCTGTTTGCTGTTCATTACAGGGACGCTTTGCTGCATTGCTTCAAGGTTAACAATTTCTTCATCATTTGTTCTTTCAATCCAGTTACAGCCACTTTCACCGAGAGACACAGCACCTGCCTCAGCTGCCAGGTCTTTTGGAGGCTCACAGCACGATATGTCTGTATTAGCAAGACTTTCTACCACCGACAAGTTCTGCATCTTTGTTCGAGAGAAAAAATAATTTGTTGAAATCTGTACTGCAAAAAGGTTACTGAGGTTCGGTTGCATCAGAAATATGAGTGTTTCCAAAACAAAATCAAATTCTTCATTTCACCCCAAAGAATAACAACACTGCTGAAATAAAACAGGATGTCCTTCACCCTCTCCTCCAGTACTCAGCATGTGCACGTTATTCGGCCTCACTTTCTGTGTAGAGTATTAAGCCTGCAAAGAAAGGATTATGAATAAATACCTCTATGATAAGGCCTGTGTAGGAATAAAGATAGCTGATAAGGTAGGAGAAAGAATGCTTGGGTTAAAATAAACACATTCCAACATTATCCACTGAAAATTGCTGTAGGCAAAATTATTTAAAACTTACACTGAACTATCTACCCATACCACAAGAAAGCCATTAAATTAGTGAACAATACTCAGCAAATACATAACAGAAGTTGCTGGATTATTAACTCAGTATTGAGTACACTGGAGACAAACCAAAATAGCTATAGTCAACATCCAACACTTCAAAAATACTTTCTGTAACTGCTTTATCCACATCATGCACACTCAAACAAGGCTATTTCTGCCTGCACGGGCTGCCCCATCCCAACGACTAGAATCCTAAAATATAGTAAAAATATAGTATTTCCAACTATTTAGGCAATTGAGGCAGATGTAATAAATTCAGCTTGGCATCTGTAAATGGCACAGACAGTGATGATCATTCTAGATTAACCCCATCTCCTCAAGCATTTTCCCGAGCTGTTTTGAGGGGCGGGTTAAAAAACACTCACTTAAACGCGCTTCTCACCCACCAGCCGCGCTGCTGAACAGAACCAAACGTGTGGGTTTCCCCTCGGGTTTCCTTGACAGGGGTGGGGCAGGTCCCTCGCCTGTCCCCAGGGACACGGCGGAGTGCCCCGGGAGGGACCGGGCTGGGGACGCGCGTCCGGAGCCGCCCGGGGCAGCGGCTGCTCCGCCCGCGATGTCACCTGGCGGGGCGGGCAGGAGAGCAGCGGAGCAGTGTCACCGGTGCAGTGTCACCGGAGCAGTGTCACCGGAGCAGTGTCACCGGAGCAACCACACCGGAACAATCTCACTGTCCCACCGGAGCAGTGTCACCGGAGCCGTGTCACCGGAGCGGCCACACCGGAGTTGTCTCACCGGAGCAGCCGCACCGGAGCAGTCTCATCGGAGCAATCTCATCGGAGCAATCTCACCGGAGCAGTCTCACCGCCGGTCCCGCAGGTCGCCAGGGGCGGGCCGAGGTGTGCGGGGCGGGCCGGGGCGGGCGGCACCGCCCGGGGACAGCTGAGCCCTCCATCCCTCCGCCCCACCGGGGGCACGGAGCCTCAGCTCATCCCCAGCGCCCTCGCTCCGCTTCCACCAGCGCCTCTCCATCCTCGCCCCCCGGGTCCCGTTCGCACCCGCGTCCCCCGGGTTAAGGCTGCCCCGCCCCGGTTCAAATTGGGTTCAAATTCTGATGTGAAAAAGAAAAGTATTCGTTTTTTGTTTTTTTCCCTCCCCTAGCTTCTCGCTGCAGTCTGGCAGGCTAAGGACACAAGGTTTGATGGTGGTGGTGGTTCCTGTTTGTCTTTCATTTGAGACTGAAATTCCCGCATAACTGCAAAGTTCCAGGATATGGATTTTTTAAAAGTGACAATCAATCCACTCATTACCAGAATGTCAGGATAAAATAGCAGGAATAAACCAACAACAACCCTCTTCCTCCCTCTCTTCTTTTGCCCCCCAAGATATTTGGCTGTTGCCCTTTCTGCTGAGGCTGAGACTCGATCCCCTCCCAACAGGTAAAGCCAGAAGCTGTGGGTCCAGTGCTGCACACAGGTCACCCCACAGCCTGGTGACCATCCCATCCCATCCCATCCCATCCCATCCCATCCCATCCCAGCCACCTCTGAGGAACAGAGGTGCTGTGCCTCAGGCTGGCTGCTCCCAGGCCTGAGGATCAGAGGGAATGGCCCAGAGAAAACTCCTCAGCTCCCTGTCCTCAGGCTGGGTTAAACATCTGGGTAGTCCCAAGGAACAGGGGACAGTTGTAAAAGCAAGGAAAGAGGTTTTCTGGAGCAAGGCCCAGAGTAAAAAGCTTTTTCTAGGCACTAGAGTACACATGTTTCCCAGCCCAGACACAGACACATGCACTCCTCCCACGCATCTGACTCTCATTCCAGGCTGTAGTGCTTTATCCAAGGGCGAGAGGCTGCATTTGGGAGCCATGCCCAGACACAGAGCCAAAAAAACTTTATTGGCAACTGTCTGAAAGTTTTTTTTAATTTGTTTTCTTTCTGCTTTGGAGCAGTTTCCTGCCCTGCACGGCCATCCCGTGGTAGCCTGCAGCTCTCAGGATATCTGACCGGCTCGGCCAGGCTGATTCAGCCCGAGTGCCTGGCATTGCCTGGGCTGCTGTCACTGTGTGCCCTGGGGACGTCAGGGCTTCCAGCTCTCTCTTCAGCTTTGAAGGGAGATCAGCATGTGTTTTTGCAGTGACTGAAACTGCTTTGCTCAGCTTTACACTTTCACCTTTGTCTATTGGAAGGAAAAGGCACAAAGGCTGAGGTGCTCCTCTCCTCTACCACACTGTATCTGGAGGGAATGGGCTGTATGGGTTTTGCAAACCCTGCCGAGTTCAAGGTGTCTCTGCAGCAGAGCAAGGAGCTGTGGGAGAGCTGGGCACCTTCAGAAGCTGCCCCAGGCCGTAGACACCAGAGTGTGGGAGCTCTAGCACCTTCTTCCCAAAGTAACACCAGAAATTCTGTGCAGGGCTGGCCCCATCACGCTGTTGTTTGTGTCTCTCCAGCACACCTCATAACCCACCTTGGGAAAACCAGTTGCCAGCCCTGGGTCCCTGCAGTGGAAAAATTGGCTGCAGCATCTGCTGGGTGTAACCACTGCTGCCTTCTGCTCTCAGGCAAACACCACTGAAAACCCACACAAACACAAGAAAAACCTGCACTGCCGTGGTTTTGGAAGGTTTTCATTTCAAAAGGGGTCGGTGTGAAGTACAGCTGCCCTGCAAAGTGGATTTCACCTGCCCTCATCTGAATTCAGTCCACTGGACTCAGTGAGTGTGTGACAGCTGCTGCTGGGATCACCAGCTCCTGCTTTAAATGACACTGCTTTAAGTTAGAAGCATCAACACAGTTGGATTAAGAATTTTCCCCTTTGAAGTACAATGGGATAAAATTCCTATTATCTCTTTGGGGGAAAAAAGAATTTTACAGTTTTGTCAGACCCGGCCTTGTGCATAATTACTGCATTAAATCAATATTTTCTTTTTGAATTATCACCATGGGGTTTTGGTTTTTTGTTGTTGTTTTATTTTTTCTTTTATAACTCAATCATTACGTAAAAGGTAAAGAGGTCAAAAGCTTCAGACATGGACTATAAGCTTATATTTAGACACACACATATGCATCTACCAGAGCAGAATATCATTACTCAAAAATTCACCAATGCAAACAACTGAATTGACTGAACAGTCATCTTTAACTATTATTACTGCTCCTCCCAGCATTCCTACTGGAAAATAATTTGAGTTTAGTACACATACTCTAGCATTATTATCTTTTTCTTTTTATCCTTTAGTAAAATACCAGTTTGCAGTGAAAAAATTCAACATAATAACTGAAAAATGTTTACTTTCAGGTCAAATTAGCACCGTGCTGCTGTATTATGAATTTGTATTTGCTTATGAAAGATCTGGTCCTGGATTATTGAATTATGTGGTTTCCTTGTAAATGACCATGATTGTTTTTTAGTGGATTGCTTTTTTCTTCATTCATTTTTTCTTTTGAAAAAAAAAAATATAAGTAAGAGATACCTTTGTATACAGAATTTTCAAATTTGTTTCTTTGGGTTTTCTTTGAAGATTAACTTGCTATTTAAAGGACTTTTAAAAATTTAAATATTTTCTTTAATTTGTACTAAATACTTGGATGTCTTCTCTTGTAAAAAATAATACAGTGACATTTAGCTGAAGTAAAATGTCATTTAGAAAATAGAAGTAAACATGTTTTCAGAAGCAAATAAATAATTTTGAATGACTCAAAATGGCATTTCAATAAATGAGCTGCCTTTTCAGTTAGTGATTAATGGTCTTTTTGACCCTAAGTACCCAGAATTTAGGAGTGTAGCATATCACCAATTCTTTAATTTATGTGATTATACAGAATGCTCAGCTTTTTGAAAAACCACTGCAGTGAACAGGTCTAAATACCAATCAACTGACTATTTGTGTGGCTTATATTTGAAGGTGGGGTTGATTTTTCCACTGAAGTCCCTCCTGGAGGCACAGTGACTTTGCCATACCTTCTTTTCTCTTTGCTTTGCTGCTGGTATGGATGGTTTAAAAGGTCAGTAAATCCATCCCCTTCTTCCTGATTTACACATGAGAACAGAGCAGATCTTCAGGGCAAACTTTTCTGCTCCTCAGTGCACGGCGGGTGGATTCCTGCTTCCCCTGTGGAATATTGCTCTGTGTGCTAACCCAGCGGGATGGGAGCCTCTGGCACGAAGGAGCCACAGGCAGCTCTCAGCAGTGCCTGGGCTAAAGGACGAACCAGGATTTTTCCAACAGCAGATGGCAGCTCTCCCTTGTCTCTCTTTTGTGCACACAACACATCTGTCAGTACTCCTGAGCAGGGAAGTAATTAATCTCCTCTACACTCCACTTTATAAAGGTATTGGACCACCTGCTTTACGTGCTGACCACAGAAAATCCATCCCACGGGACCCCTTCATTGATGGGCTGTCAGTGTAGAAGGATCTACCTGTAAAGAAAGTAGCATCCTGTGCAGTCAGTGGGAGATATACTTTACGTCCTTCTCTTCTTGTCTCAGGTGTGAAAGATATGGGAGCTGTAATCCACCTCTGAGAAAAGCAAGATGTGCAAGAGGCATCAGTGCCCTGTGGTTGCCTTTAGTGCTTTTGTTTGCCCACCATTGTGGCTCCAAAGCAAAGCTCACATTTGCCTGGACAGCCAGTCTGGTCCTCAGAGTAATTTTGGGGAGCACAAACTGGAGAAAGGCAGTGAAACACCATTCTACTCAGGCACTTCATGGAAACATCATCTTCCAAATCCAGTGGGCAGCACTACTTTAGGATCTTCCAGCAATTCACACAGCACACGTGATAAAGAAGACTCTCAAACCATTCAGAGCTCCCACAAGATCCCAAAGTGGGTTTTGTGCCTATATGAAAGGGCCAAGTGCCACAGGCACTTTCCCATTTGCCAGCATTTGCCTTCCACTCTGCCACCACTTCATCATCCAGTGACACTTCCAGTTTTAAATCCTTCCCTCTCTTCAGCTGCTTTCCCTTCTGTTGCCAGTCCCACTTGCTGAACCACTCAATTATTTTATCAGATCTTTTTCTTACTGTCCATTTGCCAACTGTTCTCTCTTCTGCCTTCAGCCTCCTGAAAACTCAGAGAGCTGAGACTTGGGCCCCTGATGGAAGAAGTGGTGCTTTTCATTCAGTAAGCAGGACACGAGAGGGACAAAGGTGTCCTGGGTAACAGAATAATTTGCTGGTAGAAGCAGGAGATTGTTAATGTTATTACTGTATTAGAGCATTGGCCAGCAACAGATTTCAGAGAATAAAGGTGATCCTCTTGAAGTTCTATGACACTGCACTGAGAGCACAGCAGACACACACCTGCTGTGAGAGCACAACACAGCAGCAGCTGCTCACATGGGCTCTTGTCACCATGCTGGAGCCCCTGGAGAAGTGACAGTGCTTTGATGTGGCTCCAGGGTGCTATTCCTGGATCCCACAGAAGATCCCTTCAAGACCATACTGTAAGATGCCTTTTTCACCTCTGCCCCTCATTAGATGGAACCAGCACCCTGTACCCACACTCCTGTTTCCAACACAGTGAGTGCTGCTTTTCTATACAGGTTGCTTGGTGGGGGGAGCAAAGGTTCTGAATGAATTACAGCTCTGGGCTCAGATCTGCAGGGAAGTGATAAATATCACCAGACTTAGGTGCTGGCACACCTCTAAAAGCAATTCCAGAGGGGCTACGAGCTGCAGGAGAAATAATTCACACAGCAGCTATGTGAAAATACCAACAATGATCAGATCTGCCTGCCCAGCCCTGATCCAGGATGGATGGCTTTGCCTCACAGTCATGCAGCAAGCATTGCCATGTTTGTGTAAAACAAATGGTGGGATGGGTCCTTCCCTCATTCAGCATGGCTGGCAGGTATCCAAGGTGCCAGACTGGCTTCTAGAGGCTCTGGAGAGGTGACACAGCCTGACAACAGCATCTTCCTCCAGAGCCACCAAGTTGTTGCACACACATGCCACAGGAAGACCTGTGGCAGGAGTCAGAGATGGAGGGAGTTCAGCACCTTCCATGACTGACGTGCAAGCCCAGTATTTATTGCACCAAATTATTTATGATTGTATGCATAGCAATGGCCACCTAAATATCTTGCTTCTTATGATCAACTCAGCCAAGAAAAGGATCTTAAAGCAGACAATTACACATTTCTTTTAGCTCTGAAACCTCCAACTCCTGCTTCTCTTAATGCTGTGTTCTTTTCCTACTTCAATTTCTCCTTCCCTTGAGTGTAGCCAAAGCAGAAAACCTAGGAGCATATATTCTCCTTGTGGCCCCTTTTCTGGACACAGGTGAAAGTGAGCCCTACAGTCTCTGAACCTGTTACATAAGCCACATCTTCAAAAAGGGGGTTGTTTAAATGTAAGACACTGGGGTGTGGTACCACACTTGGATTGTATTCAATGTTTCACACTCACCTACCTATACCTGCTCCTCTATTAAAATTTCCCATTAAGCTCCTGTTCTCGGCTGCTTTTTCTGCTGATCTTTCAAAATCATCACATTTATATATGAAGCCCAATAGCCTCTGCTGCCCACAGAGGTTTTTCAGGTACATAGACATTAATTTAGTGGGAGCATGCTTGGCAATTTTTGCCAGTCCCCTGCATGCCCTGCAAACCGAGCCATGATCGCTGCGGTCTGCAGCTCACTAATCCTCTGTTTTAATGCCTGATTAGGTCCCAAATCCATCATTGTTAGTGAGATGTGGCTGTGAGGAGGGCAGGAGGATTTCATCCTCTCGGCTGAGAGTTAAGCTGCTGGAGGTACACCCGCCTGGTGCTGTACCCGTGTATTAATTAGCTTGCCTGGAAATTTCGTCGGAGCTGTTCAGTGAGGTTGTGGAAAGGTCACACACTCCTTTCGAAGTGCTGTGCTTCAACTTGAAGTCATTACATTTGACACTTAGCAAATCTCTAGGAAAAAAAATCAAATAAAGCATTAGCATAAAAATGTTTTAAAAACTCAAGTCCCCACTTCAAGCAGCACGTGAAAGAACACAAAATCATGATAATTAGCATCTTTGTAGCTCCTTAGTTATAAGGATCTTCTTCATTCTGCAAGTGAGCTCTGCAGGGGCTGTAAGCTTGGTGCACTAGTGGTCATCACTGCACTTCGCAAGGGGGGAAACATCATCACTTTGCCTTGCACAGTGGGAAACACCATCAAAAATGATTTAAGTTATCTGCCCCAAAAAACCATAAAGTTTCCAATGGATGTCTCCGTGTCCCCAACCCTGTGAAATTAAATTGTCAGTAAAAGTGTCATTTTATTGCTTAAAATGTAGCACCGCAGTATGAATTAAAAATACACGCCATCCTCCCATGCTGGGAGGAGTGGCCAATACCCCAGAGGGCTGTGCAGCCCTGCAGGAAGACCTCAACAGCCCGGAGAGATGGGCAGAGAACCACCCACTGAAATTCAACAAATGCAAATGCAGGTCCTGCACCTGGGGAGGAAAAACCCTGGGCACCAGCACAGGCTGGGGGTGTCCTGCTGGAAAGCAGCTCTGGGGAGAGGGACCTGTGGGTGCCTCAGTGGGCAACAAGCTGTCCATGGGCCAGCAGTGAGCCCTTGTGGCCAAGAAGGCCAATGGGATCCTGGGGTGCATTAGGAAGAGCATTGGCAGACAGTCGGGGAGGTGGTCCTGCCCCTCTCCTCAGCCCTGGTGAGGCACATCTGGAATTTTGTGTCCGGTTCTGTGCTCCTCAATACAAGAGGGACATGGAGCTCCTGGAGCAGATCCAGTGAAGGACAGCAGAGAATGATTGGGGTACTGGAGCATCTCTCGTATGAGAAAAGGCTGATGGAGCTGAGCCTGTCCAGCCTGGAGATGACTGAGAGGGGCCCTCATCAGTGTGTATAAATATCTGAAGGGAGGGTGGCAAGAGGATGGAGCCAGGCTCTTCTCGGTGGAGCTAAACAATAGAACAAGAGGCAACGGGCAGAAACTGAGGCACAGGAGGCTCCACCTGGTCCTTACTGTGCAGTGACCATGCATGCCCAGAGAAGGTGTGGGGTCTCTCTCAGTGCAGACATTCAAACACCATCTGGATGCAGTCCTGTGCCATGTGCTCTGGGATGGTCTTGCTTGAGCATGGAAGGTGGACCAAAATAGCCAATGTGTTTTCTTCCAATCTTACCCATTTTGTGATCCTTGCAAGAAAAAACCAAAACCAAAACCAAACCAAACCAAACCAAACCAACCAAACAAACAAACAAACAAAAAACCCACATGGAATTAAATAGCAAAAGACAGATTTTGTTTGAATTTTGCACATGTGTAAGACTGTCACCTGCCTTTTTTACCAGAGAGTGCCACCTCTCTAGTAAAGCAGTATGGCTGCTGTACAGACAACAGGCAAGGACTTAGCTGTCAAATAAAACAGGTGACAATTTCTGAAGCCGGGGTAAACTGCCTCCTGTACTTCCAGACCCCTGCTCTGCCTGCTTATGCCCCTGGGAGGTGGGAATGTGCTATCTGAAACATAGCTGGGTGAGCTAGAATGTGTGTCCCAGGGCTAGGACAGGTGACAGATGGCAGCTGGGGAAGCTGCAGTAAGTCCATCACGTTGGGATGCAGGTGAGCCCAAAGCAGCCAGGCAGGCTGCCACAGAACCAATGAATTGTACAATATCCTGAGATAAAAGGGAACCACAAGGATCATTGAGTCCAGCTCCTGTCCTGGGCACAGGACAACCCCAGGAATGAGACCCCACCTACCTGGCAATGTTGGAAGGGTCTGTGGGAACAAGTCCTTCTCTCCCACCTTTGCCACAAACACACTTCATGTGCTCTCACCTTGTCTATCCCTTCCCCTCACAGCTAAAAACACAGTGTGTACCACACCACAGTTGTTTTAGAATTGTGCCTGCATCGTATGGACTGCATTAAAAACTTATTCAAGCACCTCCCTGAGCCAGGTTTCCAGATGCTCTTTGCAGCATGCAGTTCATAAGATGTCAGGCTTTAGTCTCATTTTGTCTGTATTGCAAGTCCTAAAACTAAATACAGCGAAATGGGTCACAAGGTAGTTGTTTTTGCAAAGAGAAAACTGTTTAAAGCTCCAAGGCTGGAGCTGACAGCCAGGAGCTGGCTGGGGAAAGGCGGCTGCTCCCAGCTCCATGTCGGTAACACCATAAATATAAGGCTGGACAATTTACAGGAAAATCAAAAGAGGGCAGAGGAGGGAACACAGCCAACCCCTCCTGCACTAGTGAGGCTATCACAGCTCCAGCTGGAAGAGGGCAGCATGTGTTTTATTTAATGGTTTATATTGCTCCACGCTGAGGTCACATTTCTGAGAGCAAAACAGATCAGCAGCAAAAGCAGGGAACCTGTGCTGCAGCACCTGGATCTGGCCTGGAAATTCAAAGTTTGGGTCTAGATCCAAACTCTCCCTAGATGCCCAAGGGCTTGCATTTTAAGATTTAGAATTTGTTCATTTCCATTTATGCTAAAAAACCCCAGTGAAGAGAAAAGGCTTAGCATGCATCCATTAGCAGCCGGCCTCGGCTTCTTATGCTTTTGTAAATGAGGTCAGGAGGACTCTGAAGAATATTAACATAAGGTTGCAATTAGCAATGAGTCTTATGCCACACACATTTTACATTAAAGGAAACAGTTGCAGTAAAAGGCTGTTCAATTCAGACATCAAAGCACACAGTTCGTGTCGATTAATAATAAAGTAAAATATAAACTTGAGATGCACAGACACACCAATAGTTCATTTTTTAAAAGAAAAAGCATTTGTTGAGAAGTTCAATCACACTTTATATTAATTTTCCATTTTTTAATATTGTATAAATCTCATACATTTATCATTAGCTTAAGTACAGGGTATGAATATGTCAGGGAAAAAAACATAAGTTATATATGGATAGGAGCATGTCAAGAAAAGGCATTTTGTTAAATAAAACCCTCTTTCAAAGTAAGTCTAGTGAGTCATTAAATTTTATGAAATACTTAACCATAGACTAGTCTGTCAGTCTATTCACCAGTTGTTCTTTTCCTACAACCCATTTAGATGTGCTGTTTAAGAGTGGAACCTTGCAGAATAAGGTGACTAGAACACTTCAGATTTTCGAATTTATTGCTAACACCTGGATGTTGTTCTCCCCACAGTCAGTGAGATCAGTTCATTAGCTATAACTGGAAAAAAACTTTGGGTCCTCTCTTTTGAAATAATGACACCAAGGCTTCCATAATTAAATAAATTTATATGGAAGAGCTGGTTGGAAAAACCACTGAGAATACAGAGAAGACTGAGCTGAACACATTGTGGTAAGGTTAGTATTTTAGATCTTTGCCTTGTTTAATTTTTAATGTTTTCATTTTGCATTTCTATACAGCATCTTTCAACATGGAACTACTGGGCTAAATTTAGTTCCAGTTAATGGGAGCTCCTTACTAAGTAAGGGCTGTGAATTCATTTGACGACATCTGCATGAAGGGCTGTGACAGCATAAAGCAACTTCCAGAGAGCCCCAAGGAGAGGCTTGGAAGTCAGTGACATTAGATGGGAAATGCATGCAGTCACTGCAGCTGGATCAGCATATCCCACAGCTCTGCTGCAGCCACAGCCAGCTTCAAGCTGCTGTTTTCCAGGCTGGAGCCTCGTGGAGGACAGCAGGGCAGTATTTTCCTCAGCCTTCAGCTGAGACTGATGGTGCATTTTGTGTGTGTGTTACAGCATCCTGTTTTCCATACTACCCCAGTGGGATGAATTATGGCGAGAAAATCTCATTGCAGGACTGCTGAGCATTGGAAGGGCCAATATGCTGTGGGAAGAGAAAAGCAACAAGGTAGAGCCTGTAATATAGGAAAAAGCATCCCAGATGGTTCCACAGACTGAAAACAATCATCAGACACGATTCTGCAGGGGAAATGTTGGTTCTGCAAGGGAAATGTTGGTTCTGCAAGGGAAATGTCAGCTTAGCTGTGGAGCCATGAGCTCTCTGACTCTCTTGTCCTGTAAGCCACATGCCAAAATCTGTTCTTAGGTCACAAGCATCCAAAGAGCTGGATCCAGCAACCATCCCTGCATCCCTCCATCCTGCTGATACACTGAGCAAGGCTTGGTGGCTACTGGGCAGACTGGTTAGCTCAGCTGAGGTGTGTGTATTTGTTTTGCCCCCCCACACTGGAGATTTTGCTCACCCAGCAGAGCACAAGCTGTAGTTCTGGGGAGCATCTGTGCTCCATCTGCTCAGCAGGAACATGTGGATCACTCCTTGTGCAGACTGCTGTGTTCTGCTGCCCAGGTTTCACCCAGCTCTGCACAGTGTCCCCAGAGCCCAGCCATGCCCTGTGTCCCCCAGTGTCAGTCCACCCTGACTGGGCTGCAAGAGGTTCTTTCCCTTCTCACCACTGGCATGGTTGTTAAAACCTGATTACCCATCACTTGCTCCTCAAACTTAACTGTCCATGAGATGGTGGCTCAGCCATGGGCATAAAGAGATGCTTTGCACCTCGCTCCTCAGACCAGCAATCTGCCATTTGGAGCGCCCTGTGTAAGGCAGTTGTCTCTTCTGCCCTGGTTTTTCTGTTATTTTTACCCTTTTCTTCTACTATATCTCAAAGAAGTCTACAGAGTCTTAGCTAATTTGGCTTCATTTACTGTGAGGATTTCAACATTCAGTGAGCCAGACCAAATTAATGATTTTAAATGTCTGGTCTGTAGCATGGACAGAGTCTTGAATCAATTGCAATCAGCAGAAATTATGTCTATATGTTAGTGAAGCCTGGTTCTAGCACTATACCCCTTTCTACCTCTATGCTTTTCCCAGGAACTGAGGAAACTTTCTCAACAAGACACAGAATCCATGATTTTACAACTCTGCTTTCTAGAGATCAGTCCTGAAGCCCCTGACACTCTAAGAAACTTAAAGGCTCAGCAAGAGACTTGAGAATACTGTCTGTTTCTGGCTACAGAGCTCTTCCTTGTGTGGTTCAGTAAAAACCCTTCCATCATTTGCTCAGATTTTCTACCAGCAAATCACAAGTTTAGAATAGTTAAAATCAGGAAAAATATTTGCAAAGTCCATCCTATAATATTCTTCCCTTCTCTTAGGCAGCGATTTACTCAAATACAACATATGAAATAATTGCATGATCATAAATTCATTTCAAACATTGGTTGTTCCAATTGATCCAAGAGTTTTCCCTAATTAATCTTTCTGTAATATAAAAATTAATTAAGTAATTTTATAGATTTGCAAGGTGAGCTTCTGAATGAATGAATCCAGGTTTTTACATTTCTGAGGTGGATTTATAGTGCTAAAGAGTAGGTGTGCATGTGTCAGTTTAAATAATCAGACTAAATTATTCACAGTGTATATATAAAGTTGCAAAATATTAATCTTAAAGAAAACACATGTTAGAAGAACGTTTAATGTTTATTTTCCTATTATTTGAGCAATTTTGAAAGGCAATGTTCATGGGTACAGGGCGTCTAGTAAGAAATATTATGGTATTTTGCCTTGGGGGGATTGTGTTCCTCTCTTCTGACTTGAGAGGCCTGGGGTGAAATGTCCAAGCTGTTCTCCCTGTCACAGCCACATAATTCCACTCTGAAGTGTGTTAATATTCTCTCTGAGCTGTTCCTCTGAAACCCTCCCGTTACCAGTTGTCTTCAAATAACAGAAACGTCTTGAAGAGCCCTCAAGCTGCAGGGCCATGCAATGCTCCTTCGGACAAGTTGCAAAAGAGGACGAGAACAGAGAAGAAATGAAAGCCAACGGATGTGGTTGAACTGTGGAAATTCACGTGTCCCGAATTCCATGGATTTGCTTTAAACGGTCCCACGATCTGTTTAGTTAAGCTGTCATAAATCCTGGTGTAAGCAATATAAGGGGTATTTTGGAAGGCTAAGACAAGGAAGACTTGTTTCCCTGGGCTCCTTCCACAGTCAAGGGGGACAGAAAAAGGCTTTTCCAGGAGAACAACTGGAGCTGTGGATGCACTGGATCGATCTCATGAAAAGATGCTGATAGAGCAATGTCTCTTCCTCCAGTCTGTCTGCTCCCTCCAGCTTGCTCTTATACTCACTGGGCTTTCCCACCAGCCACATCAGCTCTGTAACACTGAAGAAAAAGACTCCCTGTTTTTCTGCTGGGTTAGTCTGCTGCCAGGCTGGTGGCTGAGCTGGCACTGGGGTGACCTGGCCTTTTCTAGGTGGGGTTCCCCCTAGCAGGGTGGTGAGCAGTGCTTTGAGTCCCTGAGCATCTTCACAGAGCTCTGACTTACAGAGCATCACCATAATTCTGCATGTGTGTACATCTATCTATCTATCTATCTATCTATCTATCTATCTATCTATCTATCTATTTATCAATGTGCATATATGCATAGCCATAGAGACACACCCCCCCTTACATTTGTCTTAGAAGGGGTTACATAAATGTATAAAAAAACTACATTGAGGAGCAGTTTGTTTAAAAGGTGTTGCTATGGCTGCAGTGGCTTTTGTGTACAGTTACTTAAAATATGGGCTTGTGCAGAATGAAGTGACAGACAGATTTGTATCTTTGTGTGGTTAGACTGCCACTGGTTCAGCTCTGCTTGCTGGTTATAACTAGGGGCAGCATTCCTCTGATGTCCTGAGTGAGCAAGGCTGGAGCTCAGCACTCAGCTCTCTTCAGGCAGCTGTGACCCAAACAACTGCTCTGAAGCTGTTTGTTTGCTTGAGAAAGGAGGTGGATGTGTGTCATTTCCTTGCCTGGACACATAAGCATAATTTTCCTTTCTCTTTTTTTTTTTCCTGTTGGTCTTTTTGTTTTGTTTGTTTTTTAATGAGACAGCTAATCACTTGCTACAAGACAAACTGCATTAGAAGGCTGAGACTTCTGAGCATTAAAAGACTGAAGGGACTGAATTTTTTAACGGGTCTTCATCTGAAATCCTAAAAATTTCAAGAAGCACCTGAAATATCAAGGCACTTAAAATTATCCTTGGATTGCAGGGCAGTAAAGCAGTCAGAAAGCCTATCAAACAAGTCACGAAACTTAACTTGTGAAACGTGGGAACAGAGTGTGGGGCTGAAGGGACTGCAGCAGAAATGAGTTCAAGGAAGAGCAAGTGAGTGCTTGGCAGACTGAAAGGAGTATTATATAACATCTCTACGGGATAGTTCAGCCTTACCCATTCTGTGATCCTGTCCTGCTTCCCTAGGAATCAACGGGCAAATGCTGAGTGCAGCAAACAGATCCCAATCCTGTGAGGCCCTCTCTGGTATTCCATATCAGTTCTGCCAAAAATGTCTGCCAAAAGTCAATTTGAAATTGTTTCCATAGCTATGTCTTTATAATGGAGTCATTAATTATCCTCCATGTTGTTTATGAAACAATTCTAGTGATTTTCAGATTTGGCCTGTCCATGCTGACATCTGTGCTCCATTCACCATCACTCTGTTGCCTCTGAGTTCCACCTGGGCAGAGTCCTGCCCGGGTGAGCTCTCTGGAGGTGCAGACCCTCCCCTCATCCATCACAGCACGCCAGGGTCTGAAGGTTTTGCTCCAGGAATTTCAGAGGTGAAACATGCCCAAACTTCTAACCTAAGAGACGGGGACAGAGATGATGATAGTACTTAGCTGGTGAGGGTTCAGACTGGTTTGGCTAGAAAGTACCTGTCTATTCACAAGAAAGATACTGTCTGTCATCAAAAACTTTATAACCTGAAATGCTGATTACACTTGTATGGGAGAGTCTGTGCCCATAGCTGTGCCAGCGTTGCTATACCTGTTATCCACCATCAGGTGTAAATACTAAAGAGAAAGAAAGAAAATACATCAATCATTATCTGGGAGGAAGTGTAGCAGAAACAGAACAGCGCCCAAGGGACCTTGGTACACTGTGAGGTAAACACAGCACATCCTTAAATAGATGCATGAGTCTGTATCTGAGCTAAATGATCATTGTCTGTGAGTAAATAGGATCTGAGCACTGCACCTGGTCATCCTCTTCATTAAGCTGCTGATGGACACCATGGCACCGTTTTCTGCCCATGCTCAGAGTTACCAGGGCCAGCATTTCTCCCTACACCCCTTGGTCCAAGCCACCATGTCCTCAAAGAGAATGTCTCTCCCAGCTTCCACCTGAGAGGTATTCAAGATACATTTGTCTGGAAGAGAGCAAGTAAAAATGTTAATATTAAGGAGATGCCTTCATAGCAGGAATCCTATAGTATAAACTTTGTCCTGTTCATCTGCTTGTGCAGATGATTTTCAGATGTAGTGCATGAATAGTCCCAGAAAGAGGTTGAAAATCAGTCACTTAGACTGTCCCAAACCTTGGTCAGGGACTGGTGCTAGCTGCCCTGTCTTCAATGCTCTGAATATTCCTCATGGAAGAGTGCATACACCTCCTTCCTTAGCATGATGCTCTCACAAATTCCAAAAGAAAAGAGTGGATTTTATTCTTAAGGAAAAGCCCCTGGGAGGGCTGAATCCCCTGACTTGACAGGGTGCAGAATATGGATCCCAAATGGATAAAGGCCCAGGCTCACAGCTCTAGGAAGGTGCTTCATCACTGCATGTGGGTGAAGTTTATATAGTTATTTCTGCTCTTCCCCCAGCAACCTGGTGATCCTGGACTGCACACAGAAAACCTGATCCTTGTCTGAGGAGCCCAAGTGCCCAGCACTAATGATGGATTTCTCTTTTGCTGGGATAACAACACGTTTCCATCAGCTCCTGAGCTTGCAGTGCTGCAGGAATGCTGAAATGGCTGTCTGCATGCAGCCAACACAAACCACAGGTCTACATCCCAAACCAAAGTGTGTTGTGCAAACTTGGTAGGAAATTACACAATTTACTCATAAAGCACTGTTTGAGCACATGGAGGAGTTGTTAGGCACAGATTGAGCAAACACACTACTGCTGACTCTTCTCTTTGGCCCTTCAGTTCCTCTGTTGGTTATTGCAATATTAAATGCCCATTGGAGCAGCTGAGATTCCTGAATATTGCCTTTGCTGCCCTGAAGCCAGGGTAGGAGCAGAGATGGCTGGATCACAGAGCACTGTATATTTGTGTGTGTTTGTGTCTCATGTGTGCCTGAGAAACACAGACCATGCTCTGGTTTATGTTGCACTATTGTACCACTTACAGTGACATTACACTATTCCAAGCAGGCAGTATTCTGCAAAAATCAATATACATGTTGATTAATAATGGCTAAAACCTTCACAGACTTTTTTTTCCAGAGATATCAAGGTACTTGGCAAGCATAGGAATAATTCATGCTCCTATATCCTCGTATTAACTTACTGGAAATATTTATATAGAAGAAGGTACGGGAACATTTGCTTATTTTTTACCAATGGCAACAGAAAAGATGAGTGAACCTTGTGTGGTTTCTTTTCAGAAAAGGCCTGGCATTCCTGGCTTGACTGGATGCAACGTTGGCAGTCCATTTTATTCTCTTCTTTGCTCTAACTTCTGTGAGACAAGGCTCCTCCTGGGTCTGTATTTCAGTGCTTTTGATACTCTGCTGGATTAGACCACAGATTTCATTCAGTTAAGGGAGGTGGCTCAAGATCCCTATCTTCACATTTGGCAGTGTGCTGGAGAAATCAAAAGGAAGAACTGTACTACTGTAGAGAGAAGTCTGTGTATAAAAGCAGAATTAATGAAACTGCTCCAGAATCTTCTACTAGTGTGTGACACTCTCTCCTTTCCTCTTACCTACCTGTGTAACAGATTATTTTACTACTCTAGTATCACAACAGGAGGTCTTAGAGATTGGAATGTCAATGAAACACGCAAGCCATGATGTATAAGAAAGACATTTGAGAAGGTGAAATATTGGCCATCTCTGCTGAATCCTAAAATCATCATTCAGTAGATCCTGAAATCTGACAAAATTGCTTCTCATGCATGTTTCAGATAAAATGACTGAGCACAGCACACAAAACTACAAAGAAGAACACACAGAAGAAAATTGAAAGGAATAATAGATGTGAAATCACAGAAACATTGAAAAATTCAGGTTGGAAGGGACCCCTAGCTGTCATCTAGTTCAAGTCTTTCCTCAAAGCAAGGCCAACCATACAGGTTTCTCTGGACCTTCTCTAGGTTTTTACTGTCTTCCAGGATGGAGATTTCCCATCCTCTGCTTTGCCCAATGCTTGTCAGTTGTCCTAGTAATCTTCCTTAGCAGGTGAGTTTCTCACTCTCCTACTTTTGTCCATTTTATTGCTGTGCACCTCCAGGAAAAGTCTGATTGCATGTTCCAATACCCTGCCACAAGGTAGTTGAAGAGAGCAGGAAAATCACCTTCAGCTTTTGCTTTTTATGGCTGAACAAGCCCAGTTCCCCGAGTCCTTCCCTGTTCATCCTGTTCTCCTGTGCCCACCCACCCTTTCTGCTGAACCCCCTCATTTTCAGGCCTTTTTGAATCAAGAATAGACAAGTCCAGCTGGACAGTGACCCAATGTCCAAATTGTGCCCTACTAGAGAGAAGAACAACTGCACTGAGGTTATTGGGGCATTGTCAGAGTTCCCTGAGCTCCAAAACACTCCTCCACAACCAGCAATTTCTAAAATGCAGCAGTCTCTGGATCCAAAGTGCTCATGAGTGTGGCTGCCAAAGTAGTTCTAAATTTCTGCTCATTGCAGTTATTGCTACAGGAACATTGCTGGCATAACATTTTCTCCTGGATTCTTTCTAGAGCACCTGCTTCATTCACTGTGTGTGCAGGCATCAGCCAGGACAGATGCTCAGGGAAAGCAAGAGCTGAAACCCCAAAGCTCACAGAGCTGACGCCCTTTATCAGAAAAGAGGCCACCCAAGTTCTTGTTTTAAGTGAGGAGGCAGGAAAAAGTCTTTGAAGAAGAAGCAGCTTCCTTAGAGTGTTTAAGGAAACCCTTTCCAGAGAGAATATTAAAAATGCATGGGTGGAGTGAGAGAGGAAGAATTCTTATTTATGTATAAAGTTACACATGGAGACAATGTCCAAAATTACTGAAAAAAAAGAGTCTGTGTGTCTCTGTTTTCCTGAGTTTTGACAGCATGTGTTTAGTATTATGGCTTGTCCATTACAGGAGCCAAAGTTAACATCTTCCAAAGCATAAGGGTTTTTTGGGTTTTTTAAAGCTCAGTTGAATTCTAGCACTTCAAACCTACTTAAACATGGTAAAATAAAAATCTCTGGAAACTCTTTGTTTAGTTTTCTGTAGTTGAAACAATTATGCAATTGGATAAGCAATCAAGTCAGTTCAAATTTGTGAAATTCTGCACTACAGGGCAGGACAAATTACATTTGATCCTGGAGAAAAAAAGCAATATAAGAAATCTAGTGGAGTTTTTTCCCATTAAGAAAGGACAGCCACATGGGTCTAGTCTGAAGGGGTCTTGCTGCAGCTTGAGGAAACAAAGCCAAAGAATTCATGGGATGATGCCCCATGCACATCTTACAGCACAGAGCTGCCACAGCACAGCTGGATGCAAGGAACTGCTGGCTGGAGAGGGGGTCTTTGGGGGCTTTGCACAGTTTCTTGCACCCCAGTGTACAACAAACCTTGAGGGTGCTGTCTGTGGGTTTTATGTGCTCACAGTGCACATAAAACTCAGTTGGAGTGAGCAGGCTCTGGAGGCAGCAAAGGGGAAAGAGGAGCAGTTTGTGCCTCCCCAGTCTGTCTTTTCAATTCATCCATCAGCTCAGCAAGATGGTAAGGCACATATGTGCTTCCCAAATGGCTGAAGTCACTTGTCTTTAACTCAAACCTCTTTCTGTTTGTCAAGTAAGAGCTTTCACTTTCAATAAGATCTCTTCAGAGCAAGCTGCTGGGAGCTGTGAGTGTGGATATTCTGTTAGGGACTTTCTGTGGAGCTGCTGGTACAAACAGCATGAAAAGGAAGGTCGTAGAACTGTTGTTTTAATGAGTATTTCTTATGTAGAAAAGGGCATACAGCTAAAAGGGATGATACGTCCCCAAAAAAATCAGTCTTCCCACTGCTGATGGCTTCCAGCTCTGAGCTGGCTGATAGGGGCAGGTCCTTGCTGTGGTGCTGTGCTGTCAGGAGCTGCACTGAGACACTTTGGGAGCAGCAGGGCATGGGCAGGACAGGCTCTGTCTCCTGATGGTTCTGCCAGGACCAGATTTTCTGCCATGGTCTTCAGTTCAGGACTAACAGATTGGGATCCTTTTTTCAGGTAGCAATTGCCTAAGAAGATATAATACTGCTATGGATTGTTGAAACTGGGTGTATCTTTAATGATTTTCTCGTCTTAGGGACTTAAAGACAAGGGTCAGGACAGTGCAGCACTTCGTAATGCCTAGAGAAGGGGACCACTGAAAGCAAGACCTGTGATCCCTTCCAGAAGTCAGCTCTGGCAGGACAAGAAAAGCACAAAGCTGGTGGAGTTTCTCACCTCATTCTTCCCTCCTCCAAGGGCAGTTAATTCCATATGGTTTAAAGCAGGGAAATTGAACAAGAAGCAAAAAGGCCCCTTAATTAAAACCTGAGGGATTCAGCACAGACTCAGTGCCACCCAGTGTCAGCCAGAGTTCCCGTCCATCCATCCAAACTCAATTTCCTGCATTTTGTTTCATCTCACCAAAACAGTGAGTAACAAATCACCTTCTCGGATAGCACAGAGAGATAGCCATAATTCCACAACATAGCAATTTGAAACAAAATGTTACTGAGGACTCCTTGGGTAAAGAGCAACCCAAGCACACGGAAGATGAATTCTGGTGGTTTCTTACATGAGCAGTGCAGTTCAGTTTTTTAATCCAGCAGAATGAAGAAAACATTGAGCTGCTAACTTGATTGATACTGGCATTGTCCAGGCTGCCAAGTATTTAGCAGCTGATAGCTAATTTGTACAGCTTCTTTTATCTGACTGATCCAATATATTTTCCAGAGTTCAAGGGGAAAACATGGCCAGATCCAATTTCTATAATATTTTCAGAGAAGTGACAGAAGAGACAAGCCCAATAAAACATGGGCACATCCTTTTTCTTCACATAAGGCCAGGAGAATGCAAATCACAGGAAAAACCATTAATTTTCAATGCTTTTAGAGCTGGATGGATCGGGTAATCTCCATCCAGTGAGCCAAAGAAAAGAGAAGAGAACCTGTTTTACTACAGATCATCACTGCAATGGCACAGACTTCTGTGAAAGAAGGGCCACCTCACTGGAGTGTTTGCTTGGCTCTCAAGTTGAATTTTACTTGTTCACGCCTTCCTTGCCATTACAGTCTCTCCACCTCACTCTCTAAGTGAAACTCAGAAGGAAAATATTTTTCACAGCCTGCCTGCTCTAGAGGGATGTTTGGGTAGGTACAATATTAGAGGTTTTCTCTCTTTGGTGGTTATAATATTATTAACCCTGGATTTACCTGGCCACCACTCTCTAGTGTTGCTCATACTTTGCAGTGGGACCTTGGACACACTGAGGTGAAGTTCCTCTAGGGGATAAAAGCAGCAGTTTTGTAATTCTCACTGTTTTTCAAGCCCAGTTGCAAATTCCCCCATTCCCCACACAGTCAGAGACAACTTCAGATACGAAAGCCTTAAAAGATCTTGTAGATTTTATTAAGTAGGTTAAATAGACACAAAGATGAAATTTGCAGTGATCTTCCTGAGAGGCTCCTCAGTGGATGGGAACAAGTACCTCCTCACTAACTTGATAACTCGAGCCTCTCTGTGTTTAAGAAGCCCAGCCAGCAGGCAGAGATGCTGGAGGAAAACCAAGCCATCCAAAACTGTTGTGAGGGTCCTGTGAGTGCTCTCCAACACTGAGCATCTACCTGTATTTGGGTAACCTATTATAAATCACTTATTTAAATTCCAAAACAATCTTTCCCTCCTTCACTGACTTCTTAGAAGAGCACAAAGCAGCAAAACTAGCTGGACTCAGGCCCTTGATTGAGTTCTCTGCCTTTCCCCTTCACAGTAAAACCCAAGCATGTGACAAAACCAGCAGTGCTCACTGTGACTGTGCTCCCTACAGCCCATCACAGCCTGGAAGCAAAGCAGAGGAACAGTGGATTTATTCCATACAAGAGGCACACACACATCTCTCACCCACAGCAGACCCTCACAGCAATCTTCCCCATAGGCAAGTCATTGATAAAACCACAATTTCTTTCACAAATAAGCTTGTGTTGCTAAATATAAATGCCTGCTAGGTCAGAAAGTCCTCTGACAGTTCTCTCTGACAGAGACAAGAAGCAGATTCCTGGGGGAAGAGGTAGGAAATACAGCACACACTGAGTTACCTGTTCCCTGCTTATGCTGCTCCAGCCCAGATCCCTGCAACCAGTGCTTTAGGGACTGTGAATTATAGGGAACATCTGAATTATCTTATTCAATAGCTCTCAATGCACTTGTTCTCCCTGAGTTTGTTGAAACCTGTGCAGGCTTCTGTCCTCCACAACATCCTGCAGCAATGAGTCACGATTCAGTTATGCATTGTGTGAGCAAGTACTTCCCCTTGTTTATTTTAAAATAAATCTGCTCCTTGCTCTTTTCACTGGACACCCTTCAGTTCTCATGTATGACAAATAATGCCCTTGTTCCTCAACCACCTTCTCTTTGTGACTGTAAAACCCTCTTAATTCTCCCCCTTTAATCATTCCCCGAGTTCTTTCCATGTATTGCTACTCAGTGCCCCAATACCAGGAATCCAACAAAGCCAGAGTCCTCAAATTCAAGCCAATATTTTCTGCCTGAACAAATAATGACGCTTATGAAGTGGGTCAATCACTTTATGACCCAAAGGGCAAAAGTACCTGTGAAAAGATTGAAAGCATCCCCAGGTGTATCATTTTAGGGTGGTGAAAGCTGCAGGAAGACACCCCTCATCTGTTTCAAAACGCACCAGTTCTTGTACCAAATCAATTTTGTAATCATAGTTTAACCACAGCAAAACTGAGCTCAGCAAGGTGAATCATTTGAACACTGGGGACAGAACTGTGTTTCCTGGCTAAAAAAACCAAAAACACCTTGATTTTGTTTTGTACAATAAGGTATCCTTGGACCTGTTAGTCTGAAGAACAGCTCAACAGCCTTCAAGGGAGATGATTGATGCCCAGTTCTCACCAACATGACTCTGCTTGTCTTCCAGTCACACAAATACACGATGTTGGATGCTTGAGGTGTGGAAATGCTACTGAAACCAGACACGCCTTTGGGTGGTAACTGGAGCTTCCTTTGGCTCGAGGGTCTGCTAAAATAATGGAATGAACCTCATGCAACACCTGAAATGGTTTTGGGCTGTGCAAAATTATCTAATTGTCCAACATTGGGCGTGAATTTTTTGTTACAACAAGCAAATGCTTGCTATATTTATTGGTGTCTTGTGACTACTGAATAAGCTGGGACACTCTTCTTTAAAAACAGTTTCACAATGCAATCTGAAATGAGTGTGAGACACAGGACTGACCCTATAGGACTGATATAAAATAAGGTCATACCAAGGGAATGTGTCAGATGTGCAGAAAAACTGTCTGCCCACTATGCCCCCTATGAGGCAGCTATTTTAACAAAACTGTGGTTTTGCACTCTGATTAATATTACAGCCAGGCAGATGAAATCACATGTGTGAAATATGAAAATATTAAATTGTTATAATAGTGTCAGAGGTCAGGCAGTGTAAAGTAATCTCCTAACTCTGATGGCCAGGGACTGAGAGACTCCAGGTCTGAAGTTTGGTAAAGGAATTCCTTTTCCATAAGTGATGGATTGAGGTTACATTTCAGCAGCCAGGTCACAGCAGTGAGATAAGGAAATCCAAGGGAATCTGTTACTCATCACGGGTTTATCTCACTGGATTACAGTGTTGTTACTCCAAATTTACACCAGTGCAGAGCTGAGCCCTGCTCTTCTCCTCAGAAGGAGTTCATTGCTGCATGAGTGGTTCTGTGAAGAAACTGTGATGTGGTTCACCAGCTGTGCCAACACTGAG